CTCTTGTTCAACTTTAGTGAGTTGTGTTTCATATCATTATTAGAAGCCAAATTTCTGCTGCGACTCTAACAATTGGTATCAGAGCCAATTGTAAAATTATAGAGTGGTAAAACTTTATTATTTTTATTGGTTATCGAAGATAGTGGCTTCTACTAGTGGAACCGTCAAGGTTGGAAAATATGAAATAAAGAAGTTCAATGGGAAAAATGATTTTTCCTATTGGAGGATGCAGATGAAAAATCTGCTTATATCACAAAAGTTACACAAGGCGTTAGCAGAACAGAAACCTGAGAGTATGAAGGATGAGGATTGGGAGGAGCTAGTTCTTGAAGCACGGGCAGCCATAATCTTATGCCTTGAGAGGGGTGTTGCGTTCTTGGTTAATGAAGAAGCAACGACTGTTGGCGTGTGGTCAAAGTTAGAGAAAAAATTTATGACGAAAACTCTAACAAATTGAATCTACTTGAAATCCAAATTGTATACATGCAAGATGGAGGAAGGCACCCCAATCCGTGATTATGTCAACAAGTTTGATAGGATTATATCGGACTTGAAGGATATAGGAGTGAAGATTGATGATGAAGACCAAGAACTTATGTTGCTTCTTTCATTAACCAATAAGTATGAAAATCTAGTTCAAACATTGATGCTTGTGGGTGATACTCTAACCATGGATAAGACTAGAACATCATTATTAGCAGATGATCTTCGAAAGGTTGCTACTAGTGGGATGTCTAGTAATGGTGGAGAAAATAACAAACAGGCTCAAGGATTGCTTGTTACTAGAGGGAGGACTAATGAAAGAGGATAAGGCAGGGGCGACAAGTCTAGATCAAAATCTAGAGCTCATGCGAAAAGAACGTGCTTTAAATGTGGTGAGCTTGGGCACTTTAAAGCAAATTGTCAAAATAAGAGGGTATTATTTAAAAATTATACCAACAACGACAACAAATCCAAAGGTAAACTACAAGATTTGCAAGAGGCGAGTTATGTCTCAAATGGTGAGAATGATTGTTTCTCTGTCTCAAAGCAAGACCATGATATCTCTGGGAGATGGATGCTTGATTCTGGAGCTTCACATTATATGTGCCCAAATACGAAGTGGTTTACTACCTACCAAAGCACAAATGGTGGTACAATTTTAATGGGGAATAACCATGCCTGCAAAATTATGGGGTATGGTACAATACGAATCAAGATGCATGATGGAGTGGTAAGGATTTTGATGAACGTGAGACATGTCCCTAATTTGCGGAAAAACCTTATTTCTCTTGGTGTATTAGAGGAAAATGGTTGCAAAATAATCTTGGAAAATGGAGGCTTAAAGGTTGTTCGTGGTTTGTTGGTTGTGATGAAGGGGGTTCGTCACAGAAATATGTATTCTCTTATGGGTGAAACTGTCACTGGTGATTTGGCAGTTGGAATCAATAGAAGTAAAGACCAAACTGAATGTACGAGGATGTGGCACATGCGCCTTGGGCATATGTCTGAAAAGGGTCTATCACTGCTTGGTGAGAAAAGTTTGCTGAAGAACATGGAAAAGCCATGCATGGAATTTTGTGAACATTGTGTGTATGGCAAAGCACATAGGTTGCGGTTTTCTACAAGCAAGCATAAAAGCAGGGGAATATTAGACTACATGCACACTGACGTTTGGGGTCCGACTCTAGTTACTTCTAAGGGTGGTTCGAGGTACTTTGTTACATATGTTGATGATCATTTGAGGTATGCTTGGATTTACTTTCTTAAACATAAGAATGAGGTATTTGATATTTTCAAGTGTTGGAAAGCAATGGTTGAGAACATAATGGGTAAAAAGATGAAAACTCTGTGATCGGATAATGGTACAGAGTATACTGATGGAGCTTTCAAGAGTTTTTGTGATCAGGAAGGTATTATTAGGCACTGGACGGTCAGAGGCACACCACAACAGAATGGAGTCGCGGAAAGGCTGAACCGTACACTTCTTGAGAAAGCGAGGTGTATGCGCTCTAATTCTGGGTTAGGTCGAGAATGGTGGGTAGAGTCGATTGCTACAGCTTGCTATGTTGTAAATAGATCCCCACATTCAAGTTTAGGTGGAGACACGCCCTATAAGGTGAGGTCAGGTGAACATGCTGATTATGAAAAACTGAAAATATTTGGATGCACGGCCTATTATCATGTCAAGAATAATAAACTTGATAATAGAGCCAAGAAATTTATCTTTATAGGATATGCAACAGGGGTCAAAGGCTATCGCCTTTGGAGTATAGAAGATTCTAAGTTTGTGATTAGCAGGGATGTTACATTTGACGAAAAATCTATGGTAGCTTTGTCAAAAGCTATAAATCCTAACGATGGTGATGTGACAATATCAAATAAGCAAGTTATTGAGATAGAATCTGAAGACCAACCAGATTCTAGTCGTGGTCAGGTGGAGAATCCTATCGCTAGTGAAGATGAGGAAGAGGATGAACTTGATCATGAGGAGGTTCAGCAGGAAAATACACATGTGTTATAACAATAACAGCAGGAATCTTTGGATACCACTAGGACAAAGAGAAATTATAAACTAGTTTAAAAGTTTGGGTCAAACAAACCTCTGAGGCATTATGGGCAGGTCAACTTGGTGGAATATGCACTCTCAACTGAAGATGATGAGCCGGTCACCTTCAAGCAAGCTATCAAAGACACAGATAGAGAGAGTTGGTTGGTTGCTATGGAGGAAGAGATGCAATCTCTTCACAAGAACAAGACATGGGAGGTGGTCCCATTGCCTGGGGGAAAGACTGCTATTGGTTGTAAATGGGTGTATAAAAGAAAAGAAGATCATACTAAGTCATGTAGTACAAGATATAAGGCTAGGCTAGTGGCCAGAGGGTTTGCACAAAAGGAAGGAGTTGATTACAATGAGATATTTTCTCCGGTGGTGAAACATACTTCTATCCGGGTGCTATTAAGTTTAGTAGCTCATGGTGATCTTGAGCTGGAACAACTAGACGTGAAGACAGCCTTCTTGCATGGAGACTTAGATGAAGAAATATATATGTATCAACCTGATGGTAACAAGGTTAAGGGTAAAGAGAGTCAGGTATGTCGCTTGAGAAAATCACTTTACGGGTTGAAACAATCTCCTAGACAATGGTACAAGCGATTTGATTCTTTCATGATAAAATAAGGTTTCTCTAGAAGTAGTTATGACAGTTGTGTCTATATTCAGAAGCTTCACGGAGGTGATTATATCTATCTATTATTATATGTCGATGACATGCTTATTGCTTCAAAAAGCAAGGTGGAGATAGATAAGGTGAAGTCTAAACTTGGTAAAGATTTTGAGACAAAGGATTTGGGCGCTGCAAAGAAAATATTGGGTATGGAGATTAGAAAAGAGCGGACAAACCGAAAACTGTTTTTGAGTCAAAAGGGCTATTTAGAGCGAGTTGTTGAAAGGTTTGAAATGAAAGGTGCTAAGTCAGTGGTTACTCCATTAGCTCCACATTTTAGGCTTTCTGGTAATCAGTCTCCCACTATTGCAGAAGATAAGGCAAACATGGAAAATGTATCTTATGCTAGTGCAGTTGGCAGTTTGATGTACGCTATGGTGTGTACACGTCCAGATATTTCACAAGCGGTAAGTGTTGTTAGTAGATTCATGGAGAATCCGGGAAAGGCACACATGGAAGCAATGAAATGGATTTTGAGGTACTTAAAGGGTACCATTGACACATGTTTGTGTTTGGTGGAGATACATGTCAAATAAGCGGGTTTGTTGATTCGAATTATGCTGGTGATCTAGATAGACGACGGTCTACAACTGGTTATATGTTTCAAATACACGGTGCTCCAGTTAGTTGGCGATTGGTGTTACAGTCTACAGTGGCACTCTCTACTACAGGAGCCGAGTACATGGCAGTAGCAGAAGGAGTGAAGGAAGCATTATGGCTGAGGGGTCTTCTAGATGATTTCAGTATGAAACAAGAACATGTGAAACTGAGGTGTGATAGTCAAAGTGCGCTTCATTTGGCTAAGAATCAGGTCCATCATGCTCGAACCAAGCATATTGATGTAAGATATCATTTTATACGGGATATCGTAGAGGAAGGTCATATTTCTCTTACGAAGGTACATACTGATCAGAATCCAGCGGACATGTTAACCAAAGTTGTGTCAGGTAGCAAGTTTCAACGCTGCTTGAACTTGCTAAGTTGTATTCCATATTCGTCCAAAATTTGAATATTTCAAATTATAAACGAGGTGGAGAATTGTGGACATATTTAGTAAAAACTAAATATGGATTGGTTGAAAGCCTAATGCAACATTTACTCAGATAAATGTTGATGAACAATAATTCAGGAGAAACCATAGGAAAACAATGGTTTATAATTGTTTTATAATATGCTTCGCTCAAATTATAGTATGTAGATTACTATATAAACCGAAGCATAAGTTTGTTAGATATGAATAGAAATATCCATTTATAACAAAGTTATTATCAGCTTTATAATAATCATTCTTTCTTCTTTAGACATTTCTACATACAATAATTCATTGTTCATGCTATATAATTTCTCTTGTTCAATTTTAGTGAGTTATGTTTCATATCATTATTAGAAGCCAAATTTCCGCTACGACTCTAACATAGACAGTTGAAAGAAATTAGAGATATGAAGTTTTAACTTCTTTTTTTATCATAGGTTGGGTGGATCAAATAAGTCTACTAAAAACAATTGAAAATATAAATAAAAAAAAACCTGTGTTAAATATATTTGACCATCTTTTGATACAACAACCCAATTTTGTTTAACATAAAGAATGTGCAACAAACATGAAACCTTCACATTACGCTAGTAATCTTGGTGAACAAGAAAAAGAAAAATATATAATTATTTAATTTATTTCTATTGCCTTAACTCATGGGTTTTACATTTTTTTTCCAATTCAAACTCACACACCCAAAACCCTTTACACCGTTTTATTCTTAGTAAAGTTCAGAATATATTAATTAATTACCAATTGCCATGACTGTTTCAAGGTTTTTAGTCTTTTCTTCCAAACACCGTTCCACCACTGAAGCTCTCGCTCTTCTTCTACCTAGGTCATTCTCTTAACCCAATTTTCCACTCTTTTTCAATTTATTTTTCAATTTCGGGTCATTCTTATAATTTTTTTGTTATAGGCGTGTTCCCTCCAACAAAACTCAATCTGTTAGATATTCAAATTCTACAAAACGTGATCAACCAAGACGTGATCTTCTCCCTGTTTTTCCGTCACAATCTGAGGGTTCTTGCTTCTCTTTGGGAGCTAAAACTCTTGTATGTTCCCTTTTCCGTTTATTTCCTTTTTTTTTTTGTTCTTTCATTATTATCTTTATTATATGATTGTTAATCTTGTTTCAAGTGGATTGGAATTCAATGTAACATTGCTCCTCTTGATTTTTTTTTCCAGTCAGCTGTTGCTCTAGGATTTGCCGGGATTGCGGCTTTTTTTCATTATAATGATGAGAAGAGAGCTGTTCCAAAAGGTACTTCCAACCAAACCGACACTTGTGATTGCCTTTAGTTTATTCATTTTACAAATTACTATCTAAGTCAGTGTCGGTGTCGTATTTCCTGGTTCTGTGCTTTATAGGTTCTAATATTTGGTGACAAGTGTTTGTTTTTTTAATTTGCTATTCCCTCTATTTCAAAATAACTGTAATTTTAACAAATAAAATTTGTTTCAAAATGACTGTTATTCTCACTTTTCGATATAGAAATGATTGTTATTTTTTCAATTATGCCCTTTAATTATTACTTTTTACACTTCTTCCAACACATTATTAGGGTTAGTTTGGTAAAAGTGGAATACTTTATGACAATATCATTGCATTCTTTAATTAGTGTGCAAAAACCCTAAACGACAGTCATTTTAAAACGGAGGGGGAGTATAAGCCTTTTGAGTTGCAAATGCCCTTGTCATTCTTATGCTCATAAGTAGGGCTGTTAAAAAAAACTGTGAACTGAATTGAACGCTCAAACCGAACTGAAGTTAAAATAACCTAACTGTTATGTTTGGTTAGTGAACCGAATCATATGGCAAGTAAACCGAACCGAAACTCTACCGAACCTAAGCCGAAAATGAAAAATACTTAAAAAGTGTTCTAATTTTTTTTTTTTAAATAATTCGAAAAAGAGTTTAAGTGTTCAGTTCTTTAACAAGTGGTTTGGTTTGGGAAAATTGTCTTCTAACAGTTTGGAATTTCGAAACGGTATAACAAACCAATAATTTTGGTTCGGTTCAGTTCTGAGTGAATTGAAACGGTTTGGTTTGGTTCGAGTGAATTTTCACTATGGTTTGGTTCGGTTCGGTTTTCTCACTTAGCTGTACCATGAACAAACAACCCTATCTCATAAGTAAGATTTGTTTTTATTCTTTTTAATAATGTTAAGCAGGAGGAATTTCATAAGTAGCGATTACATTACATCATAAGACATTACATGACTTATTATACGTGGAATGTTGTTAGATTAGTTTGTTGCTAGACATAGTTCACTTATGACTTGCATACAGAAGGGTAATTTTGGTGATGATAAATGTGGTTGGAGAGTTGCAGTTTACAACTCTAGAAGTGTCTGGCTTACCTGTTTTATCAATCTGCAATATGATGTTTGAATTAGTTTAATTATTTTAGAAGTATAACCTAATTGTTTTGAATTTATATCACTCTTAATAATTTTAAAGGTATAACCTTCAGGATGAAATGGAACCTTTTTATTTTGTAGTTCTAATTTTCCAGTTTTATTTTAGATATCAAATCATGGTGAGTTACTTGATTTGATAAGTGTAATTGCATTTTAAGTAGTTTTTATTCTCTTGTAATAGTTGCTTTGTTTGTTGGATCAGGTTATATGGGGGATAGCCGCAATACAAATATGGTCAGTGGACCTATAATTGTTGGTCCCTTTACACTGGTTAATAAAGAAAAACAAACCGTTACCGAACGCAATTTTCTTGGTAATTGGATCCTCCTCTACTTTGGCTATACCTCATCTCCTGATATTGGGCCAGAGCAAGTTCACCTTATGGCAAAGGCAGTTGATATCTTAGGTTTGAAACTTCTATCTCTGTTTACTTTATTATAAGTCTATTTTCTGATAAACCTTAACGATATGCGTTTATTATGATCAAGAATCAAAACAGAATCTTAAAATTCTACCAGTATTTGTTACCATTGATCCTCAACGCGATACTCCCTCACAACTCCGTGCATACCTTGAAGGTTAGATTGTCTCATTGACAAAAATAATGCGATTTGTAATAATTACTGAAACTTTTGGATTTAGTAAATTATGTTCTATTTTGTATTCAAAGACAACATGTGTCCTTTTAACTTTTGTTGTCTCTTTTTCCCTTTAATGTACATGTACTAGAGTTTAGTTCAAGAATCGTAGGATTAACTGGACCGGTTGCAGCTATTAGGAAGATGGCACAAGAGTATCGTGTGTATTTTAAAAAGGTAGAAGAGGACGGTGCTGATTATCTTGTTGACAGTTCCCACAACATGTAAGTCACTGTTCTGCCCTCATACATTTATTTTTGATGTTCTGTATGGCTGCACTTAACATAGATATAAGTGGCGTTAAAACAATCAGGTATTTGTTGAACCCTGATATGGAGGTTGTGAGATGCTTCGGAGTCGAGTATAATGTAGAGCAGTTGTCAGAAGCGATATGGGAAGAGCTGAACAAAAAACCTTTGTGATACTTTAGAGTAGGAATTTTGTGCTTTAATTCACTACTGTTTCTAAGAGCCAACATTTTTCTGCTCTTGCATAACAAAGAATCTTATTTTCCATTTTTAAAGGCTGTTATCTTTATATTGAGGGATGTTAATTCTTTCAACAAATTAGTTATTAGAGTACTGATTTTCACTACAACAAGTTATTACTGTGATACTTATAATAAACACATTTACTAAACAATGTGGAAGAACTCTTAAAAAGAGTTTTGATAGATTGAATATGTTCGATAATTTAACCAATTAAGGCCTTAACCCTTATTCAAAATCTTCAAAATAAATGTCAAGACACAACTAACTATTGCATACCCTGGGCATGGAGAAATCGCACATTCGATTTAAATGAGCAGAGCAGCCTCTATGATGAGGGGGTGATCTGTGTTCTCCTGGAAGTGCAGAAAATTAACTGTCAAGCCAGAGCTGACTAATGCATACTCCGAACAAAGAGAAATTGCGCATTCAATTTAAATGAGCAGAGTAACCTCTATGATGAAGGGTTGTTTGTGTTCTCCTCGGAGTGCAGAAAATAATGTTTCTTTTAGAGTTATGTTTACCAAATACCTGAAACACAAATAAATAACACCTGTTATTTAAAAAGTAAAATCAAAGTTATCTAGCTTGAGAAGATCTGTGTTAGGGAAAACCAACGCATATAGAAAAAAGAACACAATCATAACTTAAATGCATAACTCCAAAATTGAAAAAACTATGGTCGGTATCAAATGACAATTATTAGAGAATTTTCTCGTATGAAAATGGTTATAACACATAATCTAATCTGTCGTTATTTTTTTAAACAATGATGGTCTTTTTGTCTATAATCTTTACCTTTTTAGTAATTTATTTTTTCTCTCTCTAATAAATCAAAATTATTTTGAACTTAAAAAAGAATAATTTTTCTCTCTAAGAAATGACTTAAAAACAAACGTGGGGACCAATTTCAACCACCACCGCTATCTAAAACAAATACTACCTTTTAATATAAGAAAAAATATTTTTTCTATGTTCATTGAAAAAGAATTAATGTATTTTTCTTGTAATAAAGACCAGATAAAATATTTAACTATAAATCACAAAACTCTAACAAAGATTATAAAGATAAAATATAAAAAAGTCAAAATAATAATCTAACAAAGATTATAAAGATAAAATATAAAAAAGTCAAAATAATAATTGAAAGTGTTTATGGTGGATTCATTTTGTAATGAAAATTTGAATCCGTTATAGACCATTCAACTCTCTCTTCTCTTACAAAATTAAGTGATAACTAACATGTAAACTTGAAATGTTGGGGTTTTATTTACCCAAAGGATTCTAAAAGTTTATTTTAGCCAAAAATGATAACAGATTTAGGAAATTGTAATCATGGAAAAACAAAGCAAGTTAACACTTCAAAACATGTGTCAAGGAATCCATGGAATGCCAAAAAAGTATTCAATTTAGAGAACTTGTGATCTGTGAATTCAAAAATGCCAAAATTGTGAATTATACAACAAAATTTCAACAATTTAAAGGTTGCAACAGAAAAAATATTGGTGAGGAGACAATTTGTTCAAAAAAAGATTTATTTTTTTACTTGTAACAACTAGCCATCCATCTTCTTTTATTTGTTTTCCTACTGAATGGAATTGCTGCGCAACATTGCTCGCATTCGGTTATTTGGTATATACACAGGACGTATTCCACACTCTTTCCACCTTGAAGTTTAATTGATAATGTGAGGGCCAAAGTTCACCTAGGATCTCAAAATTGACTTTGTGGGCATCAAAAAGCTTAATTTGTATGTGTTATCCTAAATTTTTTTTAAGGCTTTTAAGGCATTTATTGTACTGTTAGTAGGGTAGGGAAAGTGTCTTTCAAGTATAGGAATTTTAAGAAAATTAAAGTCAAAAAAATGATAGTTGAAAAGTTCTTATATAGAATTAAAAGGAGATCGACGAACAAAAGAGCAAGTAGTCGACAGAGGAAATAACAAGTCAGTCGACTTTAGTTCTGTTGACAAAAATGGAATCCAAGACTTAGAGAATTTGGGTTATTTGTCAACGGTATTGGTTGATGTCGAAGCAAAATTTATAGGCGGGATATATTTTGAATTTTGAATATTACAGCAGTTGCAAGAAATTTCCTGATCAAGGCGCCAACTACGTGACTAAATTTGAGGAGACAATTTTATTAAGCCATATACGTGTCAAATTAGTATTACATTAAAGTGCATGTTCAATTATTATGTAACTACTATAAATAAAAGGGTATAGTATATGATTCAATGTGTTTATTTTGTACTAAAATCACTTGTAAAACTCCACATTTCCAAGCGTAAGGAAGCAAGAGTTCAAGAGTGTTAATGTATGTGAATCACCACATTTATTTCAATGCAAACTCCTTTCTTTTCAGTCGTGTCCTTTAAATCTTTTACTTGCATCTTATTTACTTTTGAACGATCTTTTATATTATCATTTACGCTATCGGATCTCGTTCCATTACGACACTGGAATTCATCGAGAATTCACTTGACATTTACTTCGTTTAGGACAAGTCCTAGTCCTCTGTCGGTCACGAGTCACCTTCAGTCGATCAATTCATAGTGTATTTGTGGAAAACTTTTACTTGTTTCCTTATTTAGAGAAAAACCGTTTCTCACAAAGTAAGGTGTTGCATCGATAAAGCAAGTCTCATTTCATTCTATTAGCACATGTCCTAAGATTAACTAGTCGATCTTGCGAGTAACCCTTAGTTTCAGGCTTTGAAAAGACCAACGATTGTTTACCATTTTCCACAGTAAAAAAATTGGCACACTTGATAGGACCAGTGCTAGTGGATTCTATCTAAAAACTCTTGAGTGTTTGTAAGTGTATGAGACTTAGAAGTGAAAAGTTAACTAAAGAGTATATTAAGCCACAACTTAAGCAACGTACACCAAGGATGACTAATCCTGCCAACACTAATGCCGATGTAGTACCACCACGGATGATAACTACCACAGATACATTAGTTTCTCAAGTTGCATCTTTTTTGCGTTGGAAAATACAACTACGTCAGTGTCGACTGCAGGCATAGTCACTATCCCCCAGGCTCCTCCGACGAGTCCAGGGCTTGTGGTAACTACGAACGTAAGGCCTAATGTGCCTTGTTTTGGTACTTCTAATCCTATTTATGGAATGATGTATTCCTTAATGCCAGGATATCAGTCGACATCAAGCCCAACGTTATTTTCAGATAATGCTCAAAATGTAAATTCTCTGTTACAAGGGTCCGCACCAGGAGGAAATTCTCTAAATAGAAATAACCAAAGTAAAGTGGTGCCTCCTCAGTCAGTGCCGCCTTCAACTAACACTTCAGTAGCAGTTTTAAGGTAGCTAATGGATGATAGTAACCATGAGTTAGTTAACATGTTAACCAATCAAATGGGTAATGTGTTTAACCCTATAGTGCAGGAATCGGCTGAGACGAATAAACAATCCGCTGAGACAAATAGGAAGGTAATTGCTCAATTAACACGCTTGTGTAATTTTCTGTGTGCTCCTCCAGTGCCTGTTCGACAGGCACCACTTGTCGTTCAACCAGTCGTCCCTATTCAAACAGAATTGGGGGCAATAAATGATGAAACTATTTACCAAGGGCAAGTAATAAGGCCCCAAGTACAACAAAATCTTGTGATCGACCCACCAAGGGTGATAGAACGCCCTCCAATGGTATTGGTTAACCGACAACAAGATGCTTATCAAATTATTGATCAATATCGACAAGAAGATTTAGTAGTAGAAAATAAATTAACTACTATTGTCGAAAGAATCAAGGCCAGGAATGGCATGAATACCATATTGCAGAGGCCAACATATTCTTCCCCTTTGTCTGAATACATCTTGCAGACTGAATTACCTAGGGGATGGAAAATCCCTAAATACACAAAGTTTGTGGGTGAATCTGATGAGTTGGTAGTAGAACACATTGCTAGATATTTAACTGAGTCAGGGAATATAGCGAATAATGAAAACTTGCGGGTAAATTTTTTCCTTCATCCATTACTAAGGCAACCTTCACATGGGTTACTACCATGTCCCCAAATATAATTGATTTATGGACAAAGTTGGAAAAGATTTTTTCATGAACAATTTTATGAGGGACATTCAAAAATTAGTTTGGTAGAATTATCAAATATAAAAAGAAGGTTTGCAGAGAGTATTGATGATTACTTAAATAGGTTCCGTTTGTTGAAAGCAAGATGTTTCACTCAGGTTCCTGGACACGAACTTGTTCAAATGGATGCTGGAGGTTTAGATTACTCCATTAGGAAGAAAATAGACCCAACCTATGTAAAAAGTATGTCGCAGTTAGCTGATAGAGTTTGATAGCTTGAGCGTTTGAGACTAGAGAAAGTCAGATATACAAAGATCAAAAAAGAAAAAGCAGCCTTTGTAAATTTTGATGACACACATCCTATTTATGAGGCTGATTATGCCTCACTTACAAAGGTAGAATTCGACATGGTTGAGATAAAGCCAGGGCCTTCATATGAATGTAAATTATTATTTCCTTCCAAAGGAAAAAAGCCTGTCGAAAACAATCCAAAATTTCCACCAAAGACTTATACTTTTGATGTTACTAAGTGTGATTTTTTTTTGATTTGCTAGTTAAAGATGGTGAGATTTTAGTACCTCCAGATGCTAAATTACCACCATTGGAACAACGACAGAAAAGAGGTTTTTGTAAATATCATAATTATCTTGGTCACACAACCTCACAATGTTTTCTTTTCAAGGATCTTGTGCAAAAATCACTTCAGGAAGGAAGGCTGAAATTGGCCAATAGAAAGATGAAAATCAATGTCGACCCTCTTCAGCAAGAAGAAGCGTTGTTTGTCGACCCAGTCGAGATAAACATGGTGGAAATTACTGAATTTGTTGATGCAAACATGGTAAAGGGAACTGAATAAAGTCCTGATGTAGACTTGGCTGATGTCTACC